GCTTGCGCGCTTGTCCGCAGCCGCATCACCCGAGGATCCGATCGCCTCGGAGGCCACCTGAGTAGCCTCCTTGAGTGCAGAGCCTTTGCCGTGAGGTTTAGTGCTCTTGGCCTGCGCCTTACCGGCTGCAGCCTTGGAGCGTGTCTTAGCACCGCTCTTAGCAGTGCCACGAGGCATGTTAACGGTCGAAGTGGAGACCTTGACGAAGAGCGCACAGGTTGCTGCTCGAGGCTCTAACTGTAAAGTGAGCCTCCGCCGCGCTCGCGCGGCCGAGTCGATGGTTTTCGACTTTGAGAATGAGAGTTTGTGACGAACATCTCTTCATTCTGATTGGTCGGTAAACCGAACCTAAGTGGGGGAGGATGTAACGGGGTACGTAGCACTAAGTGTACCCTGGTTACATGAAGTGTGACACTTCACACTTCAGGAGTATGACATGTCATACTCCGGGATATTTGGTACAAGGTACCAAGGTCATTCAAAACCAACCATTGGTTAAATGACATTGCATTACTATAGGTAACTGATAGTTTGTATTAACCTCAAACTTAACCTACCTATAAATATACTCAGTTTACAATCTACCTTATTTAGGTCACTTCGCTCTCTTTAATTAAAGAGGGGACCTGTGAACTGCCGTTCACTGAGAGTTTGTATACTCTCGGAAGATAACTTCCTCTAGCGCAAGGTGCTGTGTGACCCCGTCACAGTCAATCTGTCACCTCTCCGCTGCAATCATAGCCAGCTGCTGTCGCAGCAACTTCTCCAAGGTCGAAACGTAAGCGTGCCGAGGATCTGGATGAAAAGCTTAAGAAAAGATCACGCACACGCACAGCACCATAGTCGAAATTCATCGACGCAATCTGGATTCCTGCAACGTCCATAGTTGCTGAGCGCTTTTTTTGGACCGTCAAAAGTTCCGTCGGGTATTTGAGGAAGCGCATGAGCCACGAAAATTTCGAGGTGGTCATGTACTTGAAGCTGAACAAGGACTAGTGACACTTGCGGACGTATCGAAGGCCATTGAGCGAGCTAAAACCATCAACGACGCAGCGGTAGTGTAGATAACGATAATAGATTGCAATATCTAGCTTGAAGATTGACAGTATTGCAATCATTGATTGTTTTGAAACTGAGCCGGCAATCAATAAACAATCTTTATTTACACACCTCTGGTTCGCCCACAGACGAAAACGAGGTACTTTTGCATCGTACTTAAAAAAAATCTGGATGATGCATGGCTACATTTAGAATCGCAAAATAAAAAAATTAATAAAATAAGTAATTTTACTTCAAAGTATATTTTAAAAGATTGAAATATATTAAATACTTTAGTAGAGGAACCACCGCACAGTCATGCTGCTGGAGAAGCCCGAGGACGTCAAGCACCAGAATTCGTCCGGCACCGGTACGTGCTCTCTATACTACCAAAAGTACTAGTCTAACTGACGACGTGCTCGTAGTGGGGTATCTCTTTGCTGTGTTCTGACCTGCTAAAAAACTAATGCTTCACAGTGTGCGCCATCTATGGTGTGGACGCGCATCCGTCGCTGCTACTTTTTGCAACGGCAGGCGGAGACAACACAGTCAAAATTTGGTCGCTGCAGACACCACCAGAGGGAGGAATTGCCACCTTTGAGCTGCTGGCGACACTGGCGAACCACCAACAGGCCGTCAACTGCGTGCGCTGGGCAGGCCACGGTCGCTATTTGGCCTCAGGGTCTGACGACCAGCTAGTGCTCCTCTACGAGCTACAAGAAGGGAATCCAGCCCCTGTCCCTTTCGGTTTCAATGCAAGGCCCAACAAGCAGAACTGGGTGCGCTGTTCGACGCTCGAGAGACACACGATGGGTAAGAGGAAGCTATGCTGGAGACTGGATAGATGTGGTGCTAATGCTGGTAACTGCTGCTCTTGTGCTGCAGATGTGGCGGACGTTGCCTGGTCGCCGGACGATCGGATGTTGGCGACTTGCAGTATTGACAATACGATTTTGATCTGGGATGTTGGTGTGGGCGCAGTGAGCGAGGTCATGACGCAGCCGCTGCAGACGCTTACGGGACACAATGGGTGGGTTAAGGGCGTTGCCTGGGATCCTGTAGGCAAGGTGTGTCACTATGTAATGTAATATGGTGTTGAGTATATCTGACCGACACTTGTTACAGTATCTTTCGAGTGCTGGAGAGGACAAGACGGTGCGGATGTGGAAAGTGGCTGACTGGCAGCAGTCCGACGTCGTGACGGCACCGTTTGAGGGATGTGCTTCCACTTCACACTTTCGTCGTCTTTCGTGGTCTCCTGATGGCTCGGTCCTCTGTGCTACTCACGCGTTCAGCTCCAAGAAAAACATCGCCTCTCTGCTTAACCGCGGGTCCTGGACAAACGATCTGAACTTTGTGGGTCATCAGGGTGTTGTGACTAGTGCGCGATTCAATCCTAAATTACTGGGTGCGGTGACTAAGGGCCATGCACATACCGTCACGTTCTAATGATTTTATTGTTATAATGTTGCTCGGCAGAAACAAGGGCAGATCCGAAGAAGGAATTTGCATGTTGTGCTGTGGGTGGCGAAGACGCAACTGTGAGCATTTGGCTGGCACATCTAGCACGCCCATTGGCGGTGATAAAGGATTGCTTTGACTCGTCAGTCACAGACCTGGCGTGGTCTAGCTCCCAGTCACTTCTCCTCGCGTGCTCGCTCGATGGATCTATTTGTTGCTTTCAGTTCGCAGGTGACGAGATCGGCACCCCCATCTCGGATGCGCAGCAGAGTAAGCTCATGCAGGCAAAGGTACGTATGTTGCAACGGTATTTTGTGTCATCTCGACTCTAAACACCCACTTTCATACGCTTGGCATAAAGTACGGATCTCGAGCTGGTATTACGCTTACATCGAGTCTTGTAGAGAATCCTATCCAACTTCAGGTACGTTCGTCTAATCTTGAGTCGTTGATGTGGGACGAGGTGGCACATTCAATCGAATAATCTGTGTGATTAGCTTGAAGAAAAGTCAGCGACTTCACCACCGTTAGCTGTCGGTCAGAGCTCTGGAACAAGTGCTGCTGCGGTTGTGACCCACACAACAAACACGCTCATTCCAAAGAAGAAGAAAAAACTTGGTGCGCAAGTACCGACTGCACAGCACAACAAAATATCAGCTGGAACAACTACGAACTGTAACAAGCGGCTTGCTCCGGCATTCCTTCAAACTGACGCGCAGTCTTCAGCCAAGAATCCAGCTTCATCGCATTACAATATTCGCAATATCTTGGGGCCGACAATCGCGTCACCGACGGCATCGAATGCAACACTCTTGGACTCGCGCATGACGTCGACAAGTGGTGGAAAAGAGGTTATCGTTGTGCCCAACACAAACAATTCGGCGAAGCTTCAGCCAAACTCTACGCCGAGTCGTAGCGAGATGGCAGGACCCTCCCTCAATGAAAAGCCCACGGCGCCGAAGACAAACGTTACTCAGTTTAAACCGTCCAAAATGGAAGTGAAGAAATACGCGGTCGATGGAAGTTCTCTGAAGAGAAAACGAGAAGGCAAGCGCTCTCCAGCTCACACCAGTTCTGTGGTTGCGAAGTCGAAGGAAATTGTGGCACGGCCTTCGAAGCTACTGAACGAAAGGTTAGCTAAATGCTATAAGGTTCAGAATTGGTGCAGGTATTAACTTGCGCGCATTGTGCTTTACAGCAGTGCTGGTGTGGCCCGAGGGGGTCAGCTGCTTCCTGATTTCCCATTCAGACTACAGTTCGTCCTAGAAATCGAGACAAGCGCACAATCCAGTAGTTCAAACTCCCCCTTGAACAGCAGAGCAGGAAGTGGCTTGGTATCTTCTAAAGCGGTGGTAGAAGTTATTGTTCACAACCTGAAGAATTGTCAGCCGGAAGAAATAATAGGTGAGTGCAGCAATTGTAATCTATCCAGCTAATGATCTCTAATTTTGACAATTGACAATGCAAAACAGAGCTTGGCCCAGTTTATTCAACTATTAAATGCTCCGAGGGAAGCGAAGTCAAGTGGATCGACCGCATTCCTGGTCGAATCGTGTGTGCAGTGGGAAATGCAAGCTATTGTGCAATTGGTGTACATAACGGAGACCTTCTCGTTCTCAACAGTAGCGGACGGCGACTATTACCTGTGATTGGTATGTATACCAGCTTTTGTTTGTGATCACTCAGATAGGTACGTGTACTAACGTTCGCCACGTTGTTCAACACCAGCTTTGGGCAGTGCCATCTCAGTAATGGAGTGCAGCGCAAGCGAGTCGCCCTATCTATTGGTAATCCTGGCCACAGGTGATCTCAAAATCTGGAATCTAGCGGATCGCAAGCTTATACTATCAAGCTCCGTTGAGGCAATTGCAAATGTAAGTTAGCCTCCTTTAATTTTGTTACTTCTTAATAAGGAAAAGTTGTACCTGATTTTTACCATGTGCTGTGTCGGAAGATCATGCCAGAAGACCATCGCAAGTTGACACTTCTCCGGTGTCAAGTGACAACCAGAGGAATGCCGCTTATCACGTTTGCCGAGTCCAACTTGGAAACGAAAGGCAATTCCAGCTTGCTTTCATACACATTTGACGCTGGCATGTCGTCATGGTACGGGCTTTGCAATGAAGAGTTTTACCTTTTTTTTGTAGTAAATTTGATCTCTAAATCATGCTTTGATGTAGGATGCGAGTGGCGGACGATAGCTTCGTCTTCTCGGACTTTGCGTCTACTCTACCTACAGACGCCGTCACAGTTAAAAGTGTTCCTGTACATTATTATATGATCCGGCTTGGCCAGTTAGTTATCTATTAACTTACCTCTGCGATTTGCATCGGTAGATTGGGCCATTACGACGACTCCAAAACGCGTCTGGCTACAGCCGAACAAAGAGAGGAATTACTTCAGCAATGCTTTCGGGTATGTCGGACCCGCTGATGCAGCGCAACGTGACACGCTCGCATCTCGAACACCAGGTTGCTGCCGCAATTGTCCTGAAAAGTTCAGCTGAGTATCGTTATTGGTACGTCCAGGTTCTTGCACAGTCGATTAAAACCTATTGCTGATACTTTCTGAAATAATTTATAGGATACAGGCATACGCTAGGTTCCTCACGCATGACGAGGATGTAATTCGCCTTGACGACCTCTGCGCTGAAATGATTGGCCCCTTTCACGCGTAAGTCTGTGGTCAATATAGAAACCTTTCTCGCGACACTAAGCCCACGTGTTGTATTCTGTAGGTCATCGTTGCCGATTACAACGGAGGCTAAGAACTTGGATGAAAGTGGCGAGTGGGAGTCGATGATCCTGGTACGTTTTTGTTAGCAACGGCCAAAATCGCCATTGTGCCCCAAAAACTAATTCAGCGCGGTTTTAAATTCAGGACTTGGTAAAACGGGACGTGTTGAAGTTACACATCCTGCCCACAATCGCAGCGAATCGCGCGTTGCAGCGTGTCGTGACCAAGTACCAACTCATGCTGAGCGAGATTGAAGCTCGTGAGAAGACCGAAGAAGACGAGGACGATCTTTAGCAACGGCGACTTGGGTGTTTGGTAGGAGCTGCACTAGAGAGACTCATCGGATAGCATTGTAATAGCTTGCTTGCTCCTTATCCCAGAAGTTTCTTCGTCCTTGTGTGTTCAGTGACGACTAGCGGCATCATGAAGGGGTACATCCCCAACGGCTGAATTAATGCCTGAAATAGAAGCGATTTCGTCTGCATACGTCGAGTCCATGATGCAGTGGCGGCGCACTCGTCTCGGTGCTGCAAGAGGTAGGGATGACCTGGGCAATTCTGAATCCGCGCCTTACTGAGTGCGTCTGTGCTTGCCTCCACCAACTCCTTTAGTCATGGCAAGTAAAGCGGTCTTGTACACGACTATCGCTGCAGTACATCGGTAATATTATCACAGCCCTTAGAAATAAGATATTGTTCTTCTGAAATCAACAGCGAAAATAAATAATTGGAGAAAAATAAGCCTTCCATTTAAAAAGGTTTTTAAGACGAAAACAAATTGGGAAAGACCATGTGAAAACAATTTATTGAAAGTGATATCTGGCATCTCAAGAATAAATAATTTATTGAACAATATTGTTTTGAAATTCCAATACAATGATTAATTCACCTGCCGGTCCGACCCGAGTCTGGTCCAGACACCGCCGTGTCTATGGTTGAAGCGAGTCAGCCATAGGGCGCAGTCGCCGTGCGTCTAGGAGCCGATATCGTACGGTGCATGGGCGCAGAACCAAATTTGCGCTGAAATCGATGCACACGCTCGTTTCCGTGTTGTGGCTTGGATTCTGGAGTCTGATGCGGTGGTCGTGAATGACATTATTGGTATCGGTTGCCGCTGGTGGCAAAATGCTTGCGATAATAGGGTCTTACGACGACTTACAGATGCTGATGGGCTCACCTACCAGTGTTGGCACTGTGGCCTTTATATTTCGGCCAATCGCTGGCCGAAACGTGGTTTCGCCAGGGAGTTTCGGCCATTCGGCCACGGAAAGGCCAAATGAGTTTCGGCCAAATCGCCCCCAGCCTCACATAAAGTTTAGACTCTGATCAGAGAGAGAGAGAGCAATAACTACGTCGTTATCATGGCTGGTGGAGGCCGTCCAGCGTGTCGGGAGGCCAGACACTTCACACACCTCAAAGAACTCGGTGAGGCAGGAGGGGGCTACTCGTTTCGGGAGTGCAGCTTCTGCAGAGCTGCGTTCAATAACAACGTAACCATTACCTCGCCGAAGGCGATCATTGGCAGAGCGCGCAACTATGTCAATCACCTAGCCAAATGCGAGTATTATCAGGCCGCTCAGCTGGGACCAGCATCTACAAGCTCATCACCAGCACCGGAAACGCCGCCGAGAGCACAAAACCGGAGTCCCACGTCATCCTTAGAAGCAACACCTGCGCCCATTAGACAGCCATTGTGCTCAGGAACAGGTACGCTGCAAACGCCTGTACGAAGCAGCTCAAGGATCGCAGTCCAATCACGTGCACGCCGCACTCTGGCTCTTGAAAAGCGCCTGCGGCTGAGCCCAAACCGGCCACATTCAAGTCACAAGCGACGCAAGCCAACATCGACCAAGAAGTTGAAGAAGCAGCGGCGAAAGTTTACCAAGGGAGAGGTCAAGAAGCTTGAATGTTTGCTCATTGAGCTACACGCTGATAATCATCTTCCCGACCGTTTCATCGAGCAATCGTCAACGCTGCGATTCTTGGAGCTGCTATGTCCAGGAATAATGGACTATCTTCCTTCTCGTCGAACCTTAAGTAACCGCATTTTGAAAGAACACGCTAAGCGCTGCAAATTGATGGACACAGATGAGCTGAGGGCAGTGGAGGAAAGAACACAAGACTGGGTTAATCTACTCTCCGATGTCTGGCAGAATATTTCAAAGGATCATTTGTTAGGCTGCCAGCTCGCGCTATTTGGGGTACTTCTTACTTACGCTCTTTTGCCCGCTGGCGATAGACATCACGGGATTGCTATTGCTGAGCAATTGGAGCAAGTGATACTTCAAGCGCAGCAAGAGAAGTGGAAGGTAGGAGCGTTTATTACCGACAATGCGGGGCAGTGTGGTCGTGCACGTCGTATATTGTCGCTACGGTGGCCTCAAATTGTTTTTCTCTTCTGCTTCGCACATGCAGTGAATAATCTCGTCAAAGCGGTTCTGCGATCTTTGTTTTGTGGTGTTGCTGCCAAAGCTGCAACTGTCGTCAATACCTTGAACGCCTCCTCGTCAAAATGGTTGCCACGCGCGAGAAAGGTGATGAAGAAATTTTACGGAAAGCCTCTAGGGCTGAGAACATTGTGTGAAACAAGATGGAATTCAATGCAAGGGTGTTTCGCGTCGCTATTACGTGTACAGTCGGCGCTTCAAATCTTTCATCGTCAGTACAAGAGAGCAAGTGATACCTCGTCGCAGCTTCATGTTCTTGGAGATCCGGCGTTCTGGGATGAGCTCAGAGAAGCAGAGGCGGTTATTGCACCGCTATCGCTCGCTTCGTATCGCCTTCAAAGAGACGAAAACACCGTCGGAGACGTAGTTCGCTCATTTGGCGATATCTACAAGGGATTTCAGCAGCACCTTGCTCATCAAGAAAAACTGATCGAGTGCGTCGAAGATCGCTGGGAACAGTGCGAGCAACCCTCATTTATGCTTGGGTTTGCTTTGCATTCTGTATACGTGGAGTGTTCGAGAGAGCTACCGGAGGCAGTATCTGGAATCGGCACTCTTGCAAAAATTGCTGTTTATTACTACAGACGGCTCTTTGGCACCGAGGAAATTGGCCAACTCCGACGTGACATGCTCGCATGGACGCAGAGAAGATTCACAATAATGAAGCCAAGTGAGTGTCTTGATTCACCCTGGGAGTACTGGGAAGGCGTTGCGTTGGAAAAGCCAAAGAGCCTGTTGCCGAAGCTCGCTATGCGAGTGCTCTCAGTCGCAGTCAATACTGCCACATGCGAGCGCTTGTTCAGTGAGCTTGGGCTAATTCACACGGCAAAACGCAATCGAATGGCGGCAAGTAAGGCTCTTGACTTTCATATAGTAGCCAAACATGTCCGTCAACGCGCACAAAAAGATGCTGCAGCATTTGAGAATCCCAAGAAGAAGCTACTGATATCTCCAGAAGAAAGGCAAATAATCCTAGATGCAGCAAATTACCCGAGCTTGTTTACCCCGTCACCACAACAGCATGGCGCGGTGAATGCAGCTGAAGATAGCGACAGCGAAGACCCGGGGGACGGTGTTGATGGCGATCCAACTCTGAATCTGTGGGGCGAATTCCTCGATGAAGTTTTTGAAGACGAAGAAATTGGTGCCGGTTACGAGGAAGCAGATCGTACAAGCGTAAACACATGCGTCAAGGACTCAAGGAACATGAGAGAAATAAACGAGGTCGATTCGGACGAATTTGAAGAAATTGCGGAAGCTGTGAATCAACCATTCACCAGTCATAATGATCGATCCTTCCCTCAAGAAGCCGTCAAACTGCGAGGATTTCGTGGACAGAAAGTGAAACTAGCAGAGTTGTTTGGATAAAACGATGATGAAGCAACCAGGTAGCTTAACTGCATCTATTAAAATGTTTATTTGATCATTCAACTGAAAACAATAGTGTCATCAACGAACCTTGCTTCAATGCAGACCACGCAACTCACCAGCATTGTCTCGTGTGTTGACGTTTCAGCTCGTCCTCTCTCGTCCTTCGTGAAGCCAATCGGGACATCTATGCATGTCACCTAATCATCTAAGCCCTTGGCGTTTTCAGTAAATTCCTCACTTGATCAATCTCACTCTTCACCTTCAGGCTCTCCAACACATCCGTCGCTCTCCTCCATCATGTCTTTAGGCTCGGTAGTATGAACGTTATTTTGGCCACCATCAGCGCTCTCGCTAATGCACCTTTGTAACGGCACCTTCAGCACCTTTCCTGTCTAATCGGATCGATAAATTACGAGATCAGCACCTTGCTATTTCTGCTTCGGCACCTTTCCCCTCAAATCGAATAATATATAACCACCACTCACGTAATATATCATGCGATCCAGCCTCCACATCGCACGGTTAAGCTCGGAGTCATTGCCGGTTCAGTTGGCGAAACGACACAGATACACAAAGTCAATAACGCGACGGAGCAAGAGCATCGAGCGAGGTGCCGGAGGACACGCCGCGCAGACCATGCACACTGAAAACGTGAACAGCGAATGCTTGCAGCCGCAGGAAGCTTCTTCAATGCTTCTATGGAGCCGGATTTCAGAGCTTGAGGAGCTTCAGCTCAAGCTGAACAAGATGGAGGATCTTCTCGTGGCGCTGGTGGAGCTTCATGGAGATATTGCGGCAACTGTAGGCGATAATATGAGAGATGCGGTGACGACAGCAACAGAAGGAAAGGAGCTGAATGAATATCGGCTTCTTCCAAAGTACGAACGGGAAGTTGCGCGTTATTCATGATACCAACGCCTTCACATGCCATCTCGTATTCCAGGCCCATCGCATCGGACTCGTCGTCCGATTCACCCGCATCTGAGAGAGAGTCTCGGTCCAAGCTCCACTTCTTCTTGAAGGCTCTTATTGTTGCGCGAAGATCGGCAAATGTTTTGTAGAACTTAGCAGACGGGAGGCTCTGAAGACTGTCAACTAACGGCATAACTTCCGCTCTAACCACGTTGTACTTCTCGCAGTCAGAGAGTACGGTCTCGTCACTGGTCTTACCCTTATTCAGCTTCACAAAAGCAATTTGTTTCTTCGAAGCAAGCATGATACTCGACGCAGGCGTGTGTGATGCATTTCCTGTAATTCTTGTAACCTTTCGTAAATGCCCCATTGTCGACTCTACAAATGGCAATGTTGCCGATGCTTCCTTCATCGACCAACACGCGTGAAGTTGGGCAACTTTAAAAACATTGTCGCTTCTGAAGGTCGTTAGGACACTGCACAGGTGCTTGCAAGGAAGCCGTAACGACGAGAAGAAAATACAATCGCAACTGGGTTGACCAGAAGTCCGCCATGTCACTCGAACACAGCTGCCTTCCGAAGTAGCCATTGTGAAGACGTCCTGACCTCCGTCACTCCAGTCCCAATTCGCACCATTCAGCTTGTAGCTCTCCCATTGCTGTTGCACCTTCCTCAGCGTGTACGGGCTCAGAACTGTAGCGATGCGGTGCAACGCAGCCGGTAGCGGGTCCGTCACAGGAGGGCACACATCAAACAGATTTATCGCCGTCGAAAAATCACGCAAAACACTGAGTTGGTGTTGAATTATCACTCGAACGCATCGGTCGATGCTAGTTTTTTTCCCCAGCCGCTGCTTTGACTGGTTCCACCCAGCCTCCACCCGGTTTGTAGTAGTGTTACCCGCCGAGAAGCATCGTCGACGCCCATAGTTCGCCCACATACTGCTACAGGCTGACCGGTTTCGTGCAAAGTACTCAGCAAACCCTGGCGCAGCCTTCTTTGTTCTCTGTTCGAACAGCTTCAACATGCTCTGGAACTGTTCCTTCGTCGGGACGTAAACCATTTGTTTAAACAATTCTTCGATTTCATCGCGATACTTGGGCAGCACAAAGTACTTCTTGCCGGCAATCATTCTCTTCACATAACGCTGTGCATGAAATTGGCAAAGCAAAATCTAGTAGCACTGTTGTTAGTATTATTTCTATACAAAACAACAGCTCTAAAGAAACTCACCGCCGCCTGCGAAAACACCTCGCGTAACGTAGACCACTCTGTGAAGTCTTTGTCAATGATGAGACTTTCCAATCGACCCCACGATGGACCCTTCGTCTTGAACCACTGAAGCACAGCTAACAGAGACTCCTTTTGTTGATTCAGACACAGGTAATCTAGCACAGATACGCCGCGTCCTGCTGCTACGGTGGCATTAAGAGTACCTGAACAGCACCAAACAAGTATCTCGTAAGCTACAAAAAAACCTGCACCAAGTTGCGCACCTTCGGTAGAAGTTGTGCAACATCAGCACGTACCGACGTAGAAGCCGAGATTTGTACAATTGTGCGTCCAGTCCAGCGACAGCGTATCGCCCCAGCGAGCAAAGATATCACGCTGCGCTTTCGTCTGCATCACAACTCCGATAGTCTGATCGTATTCGCCTTGCAGCAGCACGCATTCATTTCCCTCTGTGGAAGCAAATTCAGACAGCACACCGTTTAAGCGCTTCTCCGCACTGCTGTGCCCGAGACGAGCATTCATGAGGTTACGCACTTGCTGCGTAGAGATTGGAAGACTTATTCCAGCAGCGGTACACGTTACGAATGGCTACTAACAACTGTAAGCAAGATAATAGGACGTACCAGTCGTGTCAGCAACATAGCTGGCTATTTGCTTAGTGTCCGTGTTGGTCTGCCCGAATGCGTCCAGCATGGACAACACTGACTCGCTCAACAGGTCCTTGCACTGCTTCAAAGCAGTATAAAGCGTCTCGGTGTTGACATGGTTGTGGCACGTGTTCTACAAATACACAATAACGAGGATTCATATTAGTTTGACATGTACATACGGAATAGTGATATACTGGACAAAAAACAAAAGAAATGATAAAACCAACCTCACTTGTTACTGTAATGGTCCAGTTAGAACTACTTGAAAAGTCACCACTACTAGCACGAATAACAGCGACGCGAAACATTGCTTTGCATGCGCGATATCGTTCCTTCCGCTTAGCCCGTTTTCCAGTCGACCGAGATTTCTGCTTGCAGCCGAGAGTGCAAACATATTTGCGAAACGCGTAGCCAAATGATTCAGGAACCTGGCGCTCTGGGTGATTTATCTTTGACTTATTGTACCCTTTCGTAGTCTGGCAGTCTCTCGTGCGATAGACAACAAGATGTTGCCTTTCAAACTGCTCCCAAAACGAAAAGAAATCCGGCCACGACGCAAAAGTCCTTCCGACAATACTCGGAACAACTGCAAGTGGAACATAAGAAGGATCTAAAGCATTAATAAACGTAAACAGCATTAGCAACAAACTCTCTAGCTTCAGTTCCATTTCACGTATTCCTTACCCGTAGCTTTTGACGCAGATGACGGTTGTGTCGACTCTAACACTTCGCTGTCGTCGCTGGAGTCGTCTGCGTGCTCGAGAGGGGAAGTCCTTCGCTTCTTCTTGAGTGGAGGCATTGGCGGAGGTGGCAGGAGGCTCTGGGAAGCTCCGGCGGCGGGTTGGCGGGAAGCTCTGGCGGCGGTTGGCAGGAAGCTCGCAAATTTTGAACTGAGGGGGATTTTCAGCACCCGGTTCGGTTCCACGGTTACGGTTCGTTTTTAAATTACCGTAATTTAAGTTGCGCAACTTTTTTTTTGAAGGTGCATTAACAGGTTCGCACCATCAGCACTGGGACAGCGCCACTCTCGCCACCAGCTTGAACAGCAGAGTGACAACGTCAGCTTGGCCAACAGCAGCACTGTGACGGAGGCTACAAACGTCGTCTTGGCCAACATCAGCACTGGAGCGGCAACCACGCTCGCCACGATCTTGACCGGCAGCGTTACGACGTCATCGAGCGTCACCTTGGCCTACAGCAGCACTGTGACGGCGACTACGCACTTCATCTTGAACAAACCACTGAAATAGCAACCACGGTCACCGCGACCTTGATCCGCAGTACGTCGGCAAATACGAAAGGTCGGTTTGAGTAGTAGCAGCGCTGGCGGAGACGCACGGCAGGAGCAGTATCAATACGGACAGCAACACGCACGTCATCTTGGACAGCTTCAGCACTGGGTCAACAACCACACTCGCCGCGACCTTGACCGGCAGCATGACAACGAATACGCGCGTAAATTTAAGCAGCAGCAAAACGATGATGGCAACTACGCACGTCTTCTCGGACAGCTGCAGCATTGTGAGGCGGCCATGTTCGCCACGAACTTGGCCTTCATCATGGCGGCGACTACGCATGTGGTCTTAGACAATAGCAGCGACTGCACGTTGTCTTGGTACGTGTAGGCACTAGATGCGGCTTGTGTCTGCACCGGCACACGTCGTGGCCTTCTTCAGAAGATCAGGGGGCTCATTCTTCTTTAAGCGTCTACTATTCAGCAAATGTCATGGCAATTAACAGCTTTTTAAGTAAAACGTATTGTTTTAGTTCTGGCCGTTATTGGCAATAAAAGCCATCCGCCAAGCGATGTCACATTTGACTCCGCGGGCAGCGGGCGGTAACGCATTACCTTTACCAATCAGCAGATGTCGGCTCTCCCAGATTTTCTGACGCAGACAATCCACTTCAGCAGGTTCATTCGCCCCTGGATCCAGCTTGGAAACTAGAGCAAACATTGTGCTCGATATTATTACTTCGTAAGTAATAGTTTCTCTCGGAGCTGCGCATTGTCTTTCGCCTTTTCGGACTTTTTATCGTTGGCCGAAACATAGGGACTTTGTCAACACTGCACCTACGGCTTTCAGTTCCGTTCCGCGACTGAAGCCACCGAGTGCTCACGTGTCGTCGTTCACGTTCTCTCCAATCTAGGTCGGAAATGCCAATGTGCGCTTACAGGCCTAAACGTCCTCTCTAATAACATGTCTTTATCTTTGCTCAGGAGTCTTGAAGGTGGTCCGAAAACTGATTTGTGCTAAGGTTGATCTTCAAGGCGTACGTCGCGTATCCGCCGTGTCTAGGCTTGTAGGACATGACTGGTTTTATTGTAGCTTATCATGGCTTGGCAGGGCTTCGGTCTACACAGCAACCACCTTCAGTCACGCATTGCGCGCTACCAGTCGGAAACAACGTCCCTGTTCACCTCTTGTTCGGAAAGAAGAGCCGCACAACTCACGATCTATCCAAAGCAGATGGACGAGGTCAGTTTGCCGCAAGAACGGCAGCAAGCAGAATCTGAAGCCTCGTCCAATAAACCTAAAAATCCTAGCGCCTTCCTAGGACCGGAGGATGATTTTTCGCTGGCGAGTGAAGTTAACAACCAAGTAGATGAAGAAGCAATGGCCTTCCCTGTTGTACTTCTCGAGACGCAGTTTTCGAAGCGTTTGAGTGGAAACTGGATCAGCTGTCCATATAAGACTCGAGGGGAAATCCACATCACGTATGACGTAGACCACGCACGATACGAAGGGCTTCCAGATGCATGGCGAACGCTAAACCAGCAGTTTGAGTTGCCACTTGAAAAGGTTTTCAAGCGCAGCGTTAATGGGTATAAAGCCAAACAACCGGCTGTATTTGAAATGATGAAGACCTGCTTTCTAGCGCACAACGGAGCTCGTTCGGAAGGCGTGTTTCGCCTGGCACCGGACAAGGAAGAATGCAACGCGATAAAGGATGATATTAATGACGGGTCTTATGAAGATTGCTCCGATGTCCACATCATGGCCTCGCTCATCAAGGTTTGGTATCAATTTTGGGATAGTTGGTAGGATATGGGCTGTTTTTTTATATCTCGTGAACGCGGCAGGGTTGGTTTCGAGAGCTCCCGGCTAGTTTGTTCAACATGCTTCCGGAGCAGCTGATTGCTCGCACTTGCAAACTTGTGGTAACGATAGGAAAAGATGGCCACATGTTGTGGCGCGGCGACTGATGGTGCTCTGATAGTAACTGGAATCCTGAGCCCGTCGTTGTGCTGCAAACACTGACACAGTTGCCACCACTGCATCAAAGTGTTGTGTTGTGGCTACTAGACCTGCTGAATGAAGTTGTGAAGCACGAGCAGGAGAACAAGATGACCACTAAAAGCATCGGTTTGTCTCTTGTTCGGCTTAAACTGTTTGTGTCTACTTAACCGCTGTTATAACAACAGCAATTGTCATGGTACCTAATCTACTGAGTGTCGAGAACGCCGACGCTGCCGTGGTGATTGCAGTATATCGACAAGCTGCAGATGCTACTACAATGTAGTAACTACATGCACGAATGAGGCGGTCGCGAGACGGACGACGAGGGCTGTGGAGATGTATAGTTCAACAGTCGATGTGCAACATGCGAGTCTGGCAGATTCGGCAGTTATTTTTCTCTTGCTTTCATTTAAAATAATTTAAGAACTGGATAAAGGCATCAAACAGGGCTAGGGTGTTAAAGGAGGGATGATCCGAAACGGAGTTTAATGAACTCGTGATAGTGCTTTAAAGTGTAAGCGCTTCAGAGGTTGACTTGAGCATGACCTAACTATCTATACTCAGAGCCGTGTTGGTGCTCCCTTGATCATGCAGGGCGCTACTTTGGTGATAATGTTGCCGCCGGTGCTGGTGGCTTTCAGGATTTGCGAGAAATGACATCCATCCCTTGTTTCATTTATACAGTGCGTAGTGGGTAATAAAAAGTTCTTTGTTTCGTGCCTTTAAGTTGTTTGGTGCCTCAACATTTAAAGCTTAACGAGTTCTCGTTTGGTGCAACTATCCTTGACCATAATTTAAAGCTCAATGCTTAAAAAATGTGCAAGCAAAAACAATGGAGAACGGGGTGTGGGTACTGTCGATCCATCTATCCAATATTTAAGCGAAGGCTGCTTACACAAGGCAGCCGTACTCAGGGGAGATGTGGCGAAAGATATCGTCCTCGTGACATTCAACTCCACTTGAAGCGATCGATGACGGCTCTTCCCAATTGCAAGTGCTATTATCAATAGCTGATGCAGCCTGCGGAACCACGGCACTTGCTTTCCGCAGGGCTGTTGTCGGCGACGGTTGCAATGGGAAGAAATCGTACGAGACGGCGTCAAGAGAATAGCCACAGGAAGGGTGGTCATTCTCGCCGAATGGGTCCATGGTGGAGGTGCTGAGCTCACCGAAGGGGTCGTACATGGCGTCGAAAATGAAGCCCACCTGAGTGGGAACCATGGACGCTTGGCTGTGTTGATTGAACTGCGCTCGACCGTATTCGGCCGCCGCACTCGTAGCCATGGGGTTACCGAAGAACATTTTGTCACGGTGCAGTGACGAAGCTGAGGATGGCGAGTCCGTGAAGAGGTGCTTGCGTGCTTTGGTCCTGTATACAAAGCGCCCGACGCTCGGCCGCGGACTCTGCGATCCACACGAGTCCTCGTCCGAGTCGTGGTCGTCGGGGGTATTGCTTCCGTCCGCGGTGTCGCCTTGAAAGAAATGGGCAGGCAGAATCTGACCGAAAGGGTCAATGCCGTACGTCTCAGGCGATAAGAGGCGCTTGAGTTGGCTTTGATAGCCTGCGAACTGACGTAGCTGCTTGTCTGAGAGCGGTGGGCCCGAGCCATCCTGGGCCTGATGTTGACATTGCTCCAGCTCCAGTAGCGAGCGCTTGAGGCTGCGTACTTTACGGTAGGGCCAGTGGCGGATGCCGATGGCTCGGCAGCGTTTCTTGAAGGCAGTGGCGCGGACACCAAACTTCTCCGCCGCTACCTTGAGTGGCAGGTGAAAGTGACGACTCAGAGCAGCAAAGTTGCACGTAGCTACGGGAAGTGGCGACGCTGAGTCGTCCGAGGCCACTGGCGAATCGCAAGCCTCGCGCTTCTTGAAGTTGTGGGCTGCCACCTGCATGCGCAGCGACTGCTGTGCCTTGTCGGCCGTGGGTGACTGGAAATTGAGGTGCATCCTTGAGTCAGTAGGCGTGGGCGTGGCCGGCAGCTCCATCTCCATAGGACTAGCGTTGATGACGTTGTGGCGACAATTCATGTGCGCTTCGAGGGCGGCTGCTGGTAAATCTGGAAATGGGAGTTGCTGGCAGCAACGCACCTTGCAAAAACGGAGCTTTTCACGACGGAAACGGCGCGAGATTTCTATCTCAAAACAAAGATCTTTGCCCATCCCCGACGCCCTTTCAGGATTGAAATGTATTAAGAACCTTAAAAAAAACGGGAATGGAGCAATTTATTATTTTCAAGTATTAATACGTAGTATTAGAAACACCTAGAACTGCCCTTTAAGTTCTGTCCTTTTTTCAAGATGAAAATCTATTGATTTCATCAAAGCTAGTTCTTACCTGCTTTTTAATATATTAAGTTCAGTCACACTAATAAATATACCCCTGTCCAAAGCGAACTACAATGTACACAGCTCGCGGTAGGGCTATTCTCATTAACCCCCCTGTTACCGACGTCGTAAGCTATGACGTAATCCAAACTGTAAGTCGTAAGTTATGACTTAAATTTTTCTCATATACATGTAGTAGCTGGCTCAGAAACGGCGACTCGATACTGAAATCAAGTTTTATATGGGGCCCCTGTGATATAAGGTGAGGGAGGTTTCTGCTGCACACACAAAGACAGTACGAGGGAAGGGTTAGTTGCACCTCTCCCGCTGTTGTGGTGAAGTGCTTTCTCAGAAATAAGAGAATGGATCTAACAAGGGGTCACTATCCCGAATTAGTGACAACACCAAGTGGTTAGGGAGGATTTGGATCGCCCGGCATGGATCCACGTTTCTCGGAGTGGATTGGCCAAGATAAAGTGGCATCCGGTATGGGCCGACGATGGATCTGGTATAGATAACGTATGGGAAGGCAGGATCCACCAAGGGAAGACTCGGATCCACCCTCACCTGAGCTCACTTAAGGGATATGGGATATACCATGTACAGGTGGATCAAGTGGGGAGGGATCCAATGAAGGAAGGATGGTAGGTGTCATCTGAAGGTGGATCTGGTGTCAACGACTAACGAGAAGGCAAGCTCCACCACGCTATGTCCCAGATCCCACACTTCCGAGCCCGGATCCAAGGGGGTGAGGATCCCACACGGAGTGACTTGGATCCAGGATATGGGGATGTTGGATGCAACGAATCGCGAACTTTCGTGGAGTGGTGGAGATCGCAGACGGTCGCAAGACGATGTTGGAAGATTGGAGAACTCAGATCCATGAAGAGCGTACACTTGTAGTGAGGTGGATCAAGGTAATGTGGTGTAGGGATTTCCAGATTCGACCATACGCCAACCTACTTTATGTCAAGAATCGGCTCGGTTTGATAACCCAGAGCTGAGGAGCAAAGGATCACGGTAAGTACTCGGCGATCTGTCCGAATATGCTATCCGAATAGCCGCTGAGCTCAACGGTCGCCGGAACTCAGCTGAAGGGTCGGTAGAGATCCGAAACGACTACATTTCACTCGATATTTGTATGAGAAGCATAGGATTAAATAGGGGGAGCCGAAAGGGCTCCCAGAAGATAACAGAGCAGAATTTTCCTAGTCCAAGACACGTGTACACTTTTCCGGTAAGTCTCTGCATAGGGCTGGATTATGCCTGCCGTCAATACTCGAGAGGCATAGCTTGTAGGGTATTGACTGGTAGCGCCAAGAGATTACGTCGGTCCGGGTAGGACAAAGTCTCGCTACGCGCGAAAGAAAGCCCCGCAAACTCAGCGGGCCGGTACGTCGGATAGCCCGGGTGCCGTAACACTTCTAGCCGAGCAGCCTCTGCGCTCGGTGACCTGTAAAAGCGCTCGCGCGCCGTCGTTCATCCTTTGGTGGAGGGCACAGGGTTGTGAACGAGCTCAGCCGAACCAAACTCGGCGGAGCCTCGGAAGTGATCTGACTTGGTTAGTCGGAACCGAGTGGAAGCGAGCCACTCGTCTGTCCCGGAAGGGCCAGACCGCGAGGGGACCACCCTCTGCGCAGGCCATACAACCGCCGACCTAACTCGGCGATTCGCTGTGGTTTGTGTAAGGAATCCACATCTGACGGTATTTGTGTGTTCTACTACACCACAACTGGTGCCGCGACCCGGGAACAGGAGGGTGTGCTTGTTTTTATAGGTGCCAGCTAACCAAGTTAAGAGGAAGAGAAGAGAAAGAGAAGAGTGAAGATGGTCAAGGGATCAGCAACTCCGAGCGACGGAAGCCCAGCGACGGCTGGAGGATCGCCTCTCGCGGGGTCGGACCCGGCGGATCAACGACTCATCGCCATGACGATGGAGGTGGGACGAACCGTCCAGTTCGACGAGGATGGCCAAGACCAGGAGAGCGAGAACGGAGATGCAAGTGAAGGAGAGTATGAAGAGAAGGCCGAGACCGCTGAGCTCGGAGAAACGATGACTACCGCCGAGCTACTTGGCGAGGTGGAAGAGTTGACGCTGCAGGTGGGACGCATGGGAGCTCCACGTCCTGTCGAGCGCAACTTATCCGCCGAGCTCGACGAAGGTGCGGACGATGGAGAAGATGAAGAAGAACATGGCGTTGCTCAAGGGGACCGTCCGCCCCTTATTCCGAAAGCGACGAGGAACGCCGATACGCCGAGCGCCAATAAAGTGTTGGCTCGACTCGGCAAGGAGATGAGAACGAGATCGGAATGGATGATGATGTTCGCGCCTGAAGCGATGGCGCAGGCGAAGTGGCCGATGTTGGGTCCTGAGCTAGCTCAACCGGTGCGTGCAGCCAACATAAATCAGTTGGTGGAAGAAACTGTGCTGCTGTTGAAGGCGATGGGCTATCGGTGCAACAGCCGACCGAACAGCCTCATCCTGTCCGACTGGAGTCTGACCCGTGGTGGAGCTGAGCTCTGGCAATGGAGGAAGAAGTTGAGAGTGGCGTTTGGATTGGAGAAGGCCCCTGGTGGAACGAAGAAGATGTACAGCCGAGTAGCGAGTTCAAGCCACTCGGCGAAGACCCAAGCAAGATTCCTTTGCCGAAGACCCCGGAGACGAAGAGACGTGAAGTGTTCCGCGCTACGCAAGGGACTCCGTACTTTGAAGACTCCCACATGCTGACTCCAATGAAGCTAAACCCGACTCAGCGAGCGCCGAGTCGTGGACAGCGGAATGTTGGTCGCTACCGTGAATTGTATGACGCTGCAGACGAGACTGAAGCTTACGAGGAGGATGAAGAAGACGACGACGCCTTCGACGTGAGAGGTAACCGTCAAGAAACCGTGAAGGACTACATCCGAAACTTGAGCTTGGACGCGGCTGAAGAGGACTCGACGCAGTACCTAGAAGTCCGAACCCACGCCTCGCTCGACAAAATCGCCGAGTTCGAAGGAAAGCGCTACCGCTCTGACGCGTCGCTCCAGTGGCTCAAGCGTTTAATCTACGAGATGAAGAGCACCAGGATGCCCCAAAGTGCCTGGTGCGAACCTTTCTCGCTATGCTTGGGACGCGCGGCGAAGAGTTGGCACAGGCAGCTGCCGAAGAAGACTCAGCGACGTTGGAAACTAATCAGCGAGGCGTTCCTGGATTATTATTGCTCACAGTTCGACCAATCCGCCCGCACTCGTTACTACTCGGCGAGACGTAAAGTCAACGAACCGATCTGCGACTTCCTGATCCGACTCAACGGGTATGCTCGGACAGCCAAGATCCAGTACGAGAAGGGTGGCGCCGACGCGGCTGACCATGTCGAACACTTCTTGCTGCACTGTGGTGATGACGATGTGATGGATTTGATGTACCCCTTGCAGTTGGAAGACATCAGTAAGGTGGAACAGATAATCAATCGTCGGATCCTCGGCGAGAAGCGCAAGAAGCAACGCGACCGACTCGTGATCGCACGAGGCCAAGACGACAAGCGGAGGGACCAAAGCCGCCGAGATGATCGCCGAGATAGACGTCGAAATGAGAAGCGCAGTCGCAAGGAAGAAAACCGCGACCGCCGAGTCACTGTCGTTGACGCTGACTCTGACGGGGAGGAACTCATCGAGATGAATCCGCCGCGTCCGTACAACTCCGAAGACGAATGGGATGATGAGGACCAGTCCGGAGGACACGACTCAGCGGAAGACGACGACTACATAGACGCCGGCGTTTCCAATGATAAGGGAAATGCACCGGACCGCCGAGAGAACTCGGCGGGAGACCAGAATGGCTCGAATCGAAGTTGGGGAAACTCAGCGAACCGACCTCCGCGACCATACAACCAACGAGAACAGTCGAACCGTGGAGATGGATCACGCGACAACTCACAGCGTGGACCTTGTGCAGCTTGTGGAAGAACGGGGCACTCGGCTCACTACTGGCGACGACGCTGCAAATTCTACAGACAAGTCCATGAAGGCGGCCAGTGCGAGCTGTTTCGTCAATATGAGAAGCTGGCTGCGTTCGTAAAAAACTCTGTCGACAAGTCGCAAGTGCCAGAAGACCTGCAAAACCTTTACGCGCCGAGTGATTTAAAATCGGCGGCCCGCCAACACTGACTGGGTTGGAATATGCCGGGCTGCCACAGTCAGCTGAACCTGCAGTTGAGGCGAACTTCTTGTTTGCCTTCGTAGGCGAAGCAGGACGGCCCGAGGGAAGAAGCGGGGATGGCAATTGGATGTGTGAAATCGACGGAATTGAACGTGAGCTCGGTGAGTTAGATGATAACCACCGAGCGATTGCAAGTGTAACTCGGCAGTCAGACCAGACTGTGCATCGTACCAGAATCATGAAGCTGCTTCCGGGAGAACGGCTGGGATGGTGGTCAGCACAGACGTTTGATCGCCGAGTTAGAATGAGAGCTTTCGTATTGGGTGCAGTGAACGACCGAAGGACCAAGATATTATTGGATACCGGAGAAAATGTCTCGGCGATTAGTAAATACTTCGCGAGGAAACTGCGTCTCAAGAGAGTGGCCAGCCGAGATAAGCGAATCGACATACAAGGAATAAGTACGGACAGAATGGTGACAGCGTCAAGAGCAGTTGTGAAGGTGACACTCGGCTGGGAAGTGGCATACGAGTTTGAAGTATGGATAATGCCTCATCATGCCGGAGTTGATTTGATTCTCGGCACCGACTTCATGATCCCAGCTGGGATTCGTCTGGATCTGTACAACTCGGCGGTCAAGCTACCCGATGAGATGGTGATCCCACTCATCCGATCAAGTAATGCGCCGACCAAGA